TGGACTTGTGCCATGTTTTGGTTTGGCCGCCCCTAGCCTTCTTCCAACCTACTCCTATACCACTGAACATAGCACGTCGAGGCAGTCGGTCGTTGGGCATACGTAACACGTGTCCCAGCCACCTCAACTGATGAAATTTCACTACTTCATCAATTGATTTGCCATCCTTACCTAGTACCCGATCCCTAACAACTGTGTTACTTACTCGATGGTCCCAGGATAGACGAGCAATGTTTCGAAGACACCTATGATCGAATACTAGTAACCTACGAATATCCTCTACTCTTACCGGCCATGTTTCACTGCCATAAAGTAGGACGGAACGAACTGCTGCGCAGTAAACACGTCCTTTGGTTGATAGACGGATATCTCGCCTACGCCATAAATGACGCAAGCTGGCAAAAGATAGTCGAGCCTTCTGTATCCGTGCTGAGATTTCGTCACAAACCAGACCACAAGGGCTGATGAGACTTCCAAGATAAGTAAAGCGGTCGACACACTCAACTACTTCACTCCCTATCACTAGTTCGGGTGTCGATGTAACCCAATCCTGAAGCAACATTTTGCATTTCGAGGGAGAGAATCGCATCCCGAACATGCTTGCATTGTCGCTTAGAGTGGTCAGAAGACTCTGCATTTTGTCAGCGTCTTCACCAAATAAAACTATGTCATCTGCATATTCTAAGTCAACAAGTGAACCTCCCGGTACAAGTTCAACCCCTGGAAATTTAGATGAGGAGAGTGTTATCTCTAAAAGTACGTCGACCACAAAGTTGAACAAGAATGGGGAGAGTGGACAGCCCTGACGAACACCGCTTGAAGTAATCAATTCTGATGACAGTTCGCCATAAGCTCTCACTCAACCAGTTGTGTTCGAGTAGAGAGCCTTTATAAGGTTAATGTACTTCTTTGGTACTCCTTTCAGTGACCAAACACTGCCATAGAACCTCACGATCAACAGAGTCGAATGCCGCCTTAAGGTCGAGAAATACTACCATTGTGGGGCGTCTGAATGTGTGTCTGTGTTCTAGAACCTGACGTAGTGTGAATATCTGATCTATACAACCACGTCCAGGTCGAAGACCGGCCTGGTTTTCTCTTGTCTGTTCTTCACGAGCTTTGATTAGGCGTCGATGTATTGTTGAAGCTAATATTGTAAACACTATATTAGTCAAACTGATTCCTCTGTGATTGTCACAGGACTTTTGTCCTTTCTTATAGACTGGCACAATCAGTGATTGAGACCAGTCAGATGGGACTACATCCAGTTCCCAAATTCTACCTAAGACCTCAGTTAATCTCATTGCTAATACTGGACCACCATCCTTAAAAATCTCAGGAGTAAACCTGTCAGGGCCTGCTGCTCTCCCTCGTTTCAGATTTCCTATGGCTTTTTCAACTTCGTAAAGAGACGGAGGACCTACATTAACTTGCCATTCAGGTTGACTAGAGATCGTGGGAAACCGAAGTGTGGCTGAAGGCCAGTTGAACTGATCCATAAAGTGTTCTGCCCATCGATCCAATCTCCTGGATTGAGAATGTATAATATGTCCATCTTTCTCTGACATTGTTTCGCTAACGGTCGGGTTCCTAATTCCGGTTTCCTTAACGAGTCTGAACAATTGTCTGCTATTACCTATTGCCGCTGCCTTTTCCATCTCTCTTGCTCTCGCAACCCACCACTGTTCGCGATCATTGCGTAGACTTTTTGTCAGCTTGCGCTTAAGCTGACTCCGATCTTCATTATGTTCAGAGCCAGGTGGAATGAGTTTCCGAGCATCTATCAGTGAGATAGATGCTGCTGAGATCCAGTGTTGCTCCCTAACCTTCTGGTTTACCTTACTAGCAGATATCACTGCTGTTTCCACAGCTTTTCGGATATCATTCCATGCTGCCTCAGGGTGAGCATCACATACATGGCTGCCTAACTGTTTTCCTAGTTGTTCCTGAAATATACTCTTAGCTTGACTATCATTAAGTAGGGCCCTAAGAGGTTTCCTTGCAGCGTCTTTCCTACGTCCAGTAAGACGCAAGCAAATACGCGCTCGCACTAGAGCATGATCTGAATCTAGGCATGTGCTCCAGAATGAGCGACAGTCTTCTATCGAGCCCCTCCATCGGTGGCTGATAGCGATGTGATCTATTTGGGTTCAACGTTGGGACGAATTAGGGGGTCGCCATGTTAAAAGATGTTTTCCTTATGCTTAAAGTTAGTATTTGCAAGGAACAGGCGGTTATCTGAGCATAGCTGCAACAGACGGTCGCCATTATCTGTTCTTTGAGCCACAACACCATAAGATCCACCTAGGTGTCTTTCCCTATCGCTTATAAGATAACTATAATAATAATTGTAGAATAATTCATGTTGACTGTGAATAGAAGTCTCCATTATATTTCCTAGGTTCCATCTAAAGTGCAATTTCCTAGTAGAATTATTTCATTCAACCATTAGCTTCCATAACAACTTCCTCATAGTCAACAAAGGAAATGAAATCTATAAACCCAAAAGGATTATCACACTCCTCAAAAATCACATAACTTAACAAGTTTTTAAGCAAAGCTCTCCATAAACTAATTTATAACAATGGATCATTGCATAAACGTTAGCGAACAACAGTGACAAGTTAATACCAGTAAAGGGGAAATAATTCGCCTCAAAAACAACGTGGACAAGGCATCTTTAGGGTTACAAACCCCCCGATTATTTACCCCACTGAAGTTCAATGATAGTGCTATAAGAGGTATGCCTTAGCTGTGAAGTACATAATGTTACCAAATAATTGTTCAATGCCTGATACTTTATCTTGAACTGTAAGATCATTTCGTCCTATCAAAGCCTTAGTCCATATACCAGTAATAAATGTACACAAACAAAATAATTAATCCAGTAACTACTTAACTTGTTTCCTATGAAAGATATACGGTACTCGGGAACGAAAAAGTGTGAGCAATTTAACAGTAGCAAAGACAACCTGCTTATCAATGTTAAAAAGCAATGAAACAAGAGAAAGACCCATGAACCACATTTCTTATAATAGCTAGTTAGGGTGTTGATCCGCACAATTATAGACTCAACTTACCATGATTTTGACACCCACCAGGTGAGGAAGAAATCTTTAAATTCCGACAGCACCTGTTACTACAAAGACATTGTTAGGTTTGTTCATTGTAATAACATAACCGATTTCGCTAAAATACTCGTTTTCATAGAACTTAACATACAAGGCGGATCGACTGGAGAACGGCAAGATCAAAAACAGGTACGAAGATGAAGTCTGACTGTTGACTGTACACGACTGTGGTGGAAGAGGTTTACCACAACCAATATCGGAAGCCATACTGCCTTCTTACAGGAGATGGGATAGAAAAGTCCGACCCTAAAGAAACAGGACATCTTACCTTGTCTTAACAGACTTACACAGCCTGTAGTAGTCTGAAATCTACGACCCTGACCCATCTAAAACTACCTACCAAAAAGATTACGAAATCATACTCGCAAATTAACCCACGGATGCTGCCATCATGTTCAAGGCAATCGACACTTCTAAACCAGTTTCTTTTTCAGGTCCCTTAAGAAGTGCGGTTAAATGGTGTAGGCAATTGAAGTGACAACACCCGTCGAAACTCTAACAGCACTCGGATCCACCTACATTCAAACAGAGAAATCCAGCACAAATGATTACAGCATCCAGGCGTTCGTTATTAAACTAAAGCGTACAAGTAAACCTGGAGTATCTGTTGGTACATGGATGCTAAAATATTATATCTTGTTCGTGGGCAACAGCAATAGCGGACTCACCATGGAAATTTTCAGCGGAAAATTTCTAGTCACATGACGGATATGTATATGATCCGATCTGACAGTTGGTCTTTGATTGAAATGTAATTAGATAAACTGATGGATGGAATCAGTTAGATTCGACCAATGACCGATATGAAACAATCAATTGTACACAAGGCTATCATAAATATCGCAAAAATAAATTTATTTATCTAATGTGGGTTTATGCATTCTACTTTGAGCAGCATCCAAAGACAGTACTAATGACTATATTTATCCGTGTACTTACAGTACTATTCAGTGACATAAATGGCACGAGATTCATAGGACCGACAATTTTTTTCAGTGAAAATTATTGACAAATTTACTGCCTTTTATTTTGCATTTAGACACTTCAAACGTTCTATAAAGTTCGCTGAATACGGATGCCATGCGTATACCTCTTCCAATAGTTTGGTTGCGTCAAACCAGTTTGTTATTAAAATGTAGTTTATATCCCAAATCATGTCATAAACTTGAAAGGCAACCATTTACGTCTTGTTTATAAATGACACGTGGAGTCATGTTTGACGATCACGTTGGTATATTCGAAGACTTAAAATATCTTAATATGGAAATAACCCGACATACAGACTTAATATGAATATAATATCATTAACCAGTCTAGAAAATGGAAGAATCCTATGGACTCAAGCTGGCATTGGCGCTATGCGTGAGGAAACCGCGAATGCTGCGTCAATATAACTGTGATACGCAATAATTCGGCATTTTTATTAAGAGGCATACTTTGTGAGACATGGAGAACCAGTCTGCTGATATTTCTAAAGCCACTAGAACGAACTCTACCTGTACAATATTGACTGACTATTTTAAGGTAATTAGGATATTTAAAAACTAATAAGATCACAACATTTAAACCAATAAGTAGATCGCCAGCCACAATGAGCTGTTGGAATGACAATCTGTAGTCAAATTGTGATCAAACATTAACGTAGTGCTTCGCATACAGTGAATGGACCCTTTCAATTAAAATAATTTTATTCAACTGTGGGTGGGACTCGGTAGTAGGGTTCGCACTGGGAACATAGAGACCCAGATTAACGCTCACAAGTTCGAAACTTTGTAAGGAAGTCACATTTCCTAACCCTACACGACTCAACGTCTTCTGGAAGCGACTCCCCAATTGCAACGCAAGTATACCGGTACTTAGAGGAAACCTGACCACTGAAATATGTACCAACCCTACCAAAAACACATGAAAACCAAGTTATTGAAGTCAGATAGTAGGAGCAAATCGACTGAACCAGTTACGTCATACCATCTAAACATATGCAACCAACCCGTAATACCTGAATTCCATATCTCTAAGATATGCTACATGTCAGTATATACACTATGACAGAACCAGATACGACTAAATCCAGCCCAAGAAAAAGAGAATAGTCATCACGTACCAAAAGTTTATTTGCAACTACGCTGCAGGTACTGATATTTCTCCAGCATTTACTTTCTCGATTATGACTTGAGGAGACTGACCATCAATTGTACAGCCAACCGATCTTGCCGTTCCCAGAACTTCTTTTACTGTTCCAGAAAGCTCACGGGCAATGCTTCTGGGTCTCATCGTTCGTGCAATTTCTATTATCTCATCAAATGTCAAATTCCCATTGTGTTTTATGTTCTTTACTTTCTTTCTATCACGAGGCTCTTCCTTAAGGGCTTTGATTATGAGAGAAGAAGCCGTAGGAACAACACTGATGGTCGCTTGTCGATTCTGGATAGTCAATTTGACACAAATACGAAGACCTTTCCATTCTTGAGTTGCTTTTGCGATATCGTCACCGACTTTCTTAGGAGACAAGCCAAGAGGACCAATTTTCGGTGCTAAAGACGATGTTGCACCAACCTCACCACCAATAACTCTCAGGTAACCTAAGAATCTATGAGCAATTAATATTGAGCTTACAATAAGTAACAGCAGTAGGATCAAGCTTAGGAGGCATGGTATGCCAGGAACTTGGCGCCTGAATGTAACGAGAACTAGCACTGTAACGTATCACGAAAATTCCGTTGAACACTTGGACCAACAGCTTGATTAATATACACCAGTTTTTATCAGATCGTGGTGAAATTATCTGCCATTACAGATTCACAAATAAACTGAATTGACTTTTTAATGTTCTGGAATATTCATTCGAAATGTCTTCATTATGAATAAATTGAACACAATGATTATCAAAAGACTAGTGAAGTGGACGGTAAAAACATTTTGAGTAGAGTGGTTTTGCAATATGGTGTTTAGTGACTGTTATCTTGTCCAATCCATCGCAGTTTGGATTTCTGCGTCGTTTCAAGTAACGCGTAGTGATTCATTGTGATTTACTGGACTTCGTATCAGGCCAATAAAACAATCTACTTAACACAATAGCACCATAGATGCCTTAACTTACGGATCACACAATACAATTCTTCACTTCACATCTCACGGTTGGCGGATCACCAAATCACTCTGAGTCACTTTGTTGTTCTCCTTCATTATTCATCGAGCGCTATTTCAAGAACAGACTTTTGTTGTTAAGCCTTCAAGTGAATAAACCATATATTTCCCTATCATAGCTTATTCTGCATATTCCAAAATGTAATCCACTGTATCCATCCTCGACACTGGCTTCATCAGTCTGAACATCAGTAGCAATAACCATTTTGAAATATAATTTGTAGTGCACAAGTGTTCTTACAAGTTAGCATGTATCTCCATATGAAATTTTATACCATAAAATGCAAAGGTTATCGGTACTCATTACTCGACAATATCATCTCATTAGTCCTAGGTCATGACCATCATCATAATCAGCAGCATCACTGGGCATTTTAGCTCACTATTCAAGGCTTGTTGCAATTCATCAAAACCATGACAGACTATAAAGTACATTCAAATATGGTAGATCATAGCAATCAAATACTTTCCACAGAAATTTCGACAACACTCTAACGAATGTATATGCGGCGCTTGGTATCATCCATCAGAATGAAATCTAAACGAGACGACAGAATTTCTCAGTTACACTCCCAATAAGGCGAAGATCTCAACGTTTGGGGAGAAAACGTCAAAACTTGAATTGAAGTCAAAGAGAAACTTTTTGTGGATGTTCACTGTAGCGAACATAGTTCTAGTTTTAGTGGCCCTGTATCTGACTTTAAATAGACCGTATTAAAGCTGCTATCTAAATACGCATCCCGGTTACCTCCGTATACAGTCATCGACTTAAATCGCGTTAGTGAATAACGGAAATAAATAAGTCTAATACGAGAAGTGAGTTTTAATACATTTATTTCGTACATTCATCAATCTGGACAGGCAATCAGGGAAACGAAGTGGTGGAAGCTGTAAGGGGAAAGCGAAGCGAAATAAAATGATGGGCAGTGGAGAAGGTGAGGGATCCATCTTCATTTAACCAAGAGTGACTCAATATTTGTAGCCAGATCAAAAATAAGTTACAGACATGTAATGAATAGGATAAGCAACTAACACATCAACGAGGGTTAGTAAGCGAATAAGTGACAAAGTCAAAGTGTGGCTTGGGAAGAATGAAAAATTTGGTCTGTTCATACTCTAGAATAACCTACGTGGGCTTGATATAGTACCAGCCATTACATTGTAGTACTTACAATGAACTATTGATTATCAATAAACATAAACCCTGTACATTGTCTCAACTGTGAAACGAATTTGACTGTCAACTATATAGGATTACAGAGCACTTAGACGGGAAACAGTATTATATGGACACCCAATATCACTCATTTATGATAGCCTATAATGTATTATCATATTCACTAGACAACCATTATCACGCCTTTGAGTTGTTCACATTCGTACTCATAACATCATGTTTGGAGTTTTGTGGATAATTCACATCGAGATATGCTTTTCATAAGAGAAAATATTAACGATCAGTTGATAGACAGTATAGATTCTAAACCATACAAGTAGCATGGGAGAGTCGTGCTAAAATAATTAGATGAAATGGAATGAATGGCCGTCAATGTAAGCGTGTTTTGGGGGTTAAATCTTTGGAATTTTCCGAGACACGCGATAGGACGAGATCAAAGTCCAACAATCAATGAAGAGATGAACATCACTAAACACTACCTCACAACTTGAAATTTTCCCAGACAAACTGATTTCCATGATCTGTTTTTGCTGGGCTGTGCACAACAAATGTTACTGCTGAAAATCACCTTGGGAGAAGATCGAAGGATTTTGGTATAAGTTCTAAGCCCGTTGAGGCTAATAAAGAGCTGAAGAATAAACTAATCCAAAACTTTAACGCAACCTATCCTGGCCCCAATTCCGGTGGACTCCCAGAACAAAGCAGTAGGGGTTGTCCTCAGTCGTTTTAATCAAAACGTGTGGCAAAATCACTGGTCTTCGTAGAAATAACAGGCTTCACGTTTGGATGGAAATTTTTCACCATTTGTTTAACACTACGAATTTCCAACATGGGTTGCAAGGCTAGAAATTCGTACTTGACACAGACCGTAAATAGCTAATAAATTTATTGAAAGTCAACAAAAATTCGTTCGAGAAGCCTGATATATATTAAAATTATATCGTTGTTCACCAATGATTTACGGCATGTCAAATGTAGGGGCAGTTGAACAGCAGATATGAAGTGGCATTGGACCATAACCACATAATCTTCAAAGCCGAACACAAGACTACTCAGAAAATAGATATTCAATATTTAACACGGAGAAATATCTAACAATAGAGAAGGCGCGGAGAATGAATTGAATGGACTGGAGTTGATCGAGTGGCATGGCTCGGCCATACAGGCGTGGTCTCTGCCGAATGTTACCTTGTATCTTCTATTCATATTAAATATATTGTTCTTTTTCTAGCCTAACCTTGTTCTACATCATGTATTGGTAATTGATACGATACAGTGAGTTGGTGTAGTCGGTGGTGTGACTTCCACGTAAGATCTTATACATTAGGCAGTTATATCATGACAAATCTAGAAATTTAGGATTAGGTCTACTATTAGAGCAGTACTAATATCATAGTAGATCATAGTTCTACAGATATATTATCTCGATTGAAAAGTGATTTTTTATGATTCTCACAATCTGACTCTGCTAGCGCAAAAACTACCAAGAGACTGAAAAATATGAGATATACGAACAAATGAACAGAGAGTTGAACACAAATGGGCTAAAATTTGTCCGGCGTGCAGCTAATCAAAGGTAAACCGTCATATGAATTTTTCCATCAAAGTTTTGTCACAGCCACATCCACGGCCTTCTCGCATTAATTTAGATTTGGTAAGTCCTTCACCGTGCTCTGGCGGTTTTTACCATTAACTTACATACTCGGACAGATTCAAAAGGCTCCCAGTAACCATACCAACAAACGACATCACAACCAAAACGGTGATCAGGGGTTTCACTCATAATTGGGTGACCATTTTAGAACACCTACTACAAAAACGACTGAGCTATTCAACAGCTTATCGAAATTATTGGGTTCTGACGAAATACGTTGCAAAAATATCATGCTCATGCCAATCAGTTAGTCGAATGTTTCCATCACCAACATAGTGCCCCGATAATTCACTCAAGCCTTACTAAATGGACGGAATTCCTGTCTTTAGTTGTGTTGGGAATAAGAACAGCTTTTAAAACTGATTTACACTGTCCAACAGCTTGACTGGTCACCTGAATACTTATATATGAGTTTGTTATTCATTGAGCTGAAAATAAAGGGGTCAACCTAGGTATATAAGTAAATAAACTACAGGATCAGACGTACGTACTTATAACAATTTACACTAGCGAACATTAGTGGTCCACACATATGCCTAAAACCCTGAATACAAGTAAAAATATCCAGATAAGGTGTAAAACAGTAAAGACACCACTTAATCCTTCGTTTACAAAGCTATTTAGTGAGGTGATATCTAGACCTACGTGTTTATTTGTACAAAAACATGGAAGCTCAGAAGCAATAATTATTGATTGAGCGAAACGAGTTTATCTATACAGCGAACCACTATATGTGACACTTAATAGTATGCGGATACTTGCGACATAATGCTAAATGCAAATTCTCTAAATGGTGAACCTAGTTTAATGTCTAATTTGGTATTAAATGCATTTGCGTTTGTTACCATAATAATAGACACAACCCGAAAATGGTAAATTTGTCATGATTTAACTATTAAATTCATAAGATCATACATGGAATTCACATCAACTCATCTTAACAGTCAACAATATGCTGTTTAGTACTTCCGAAGAATACGTCCAAATTGTAGATGGAATATTTAATTAAATATGAAAGGGAAGAAGTTTAATAAAGTGACGGCACTTTCGCTGCCGAGTCATACCATACCGATTAATTGTTCGCCCGTTCACCGTTTCTGGTCTTCTCTAGGTTACTAAATCTTGAGCGTAAATCTTCTCAGTTATTATTCGCACGGCTTAAAGGACCATGTGGTTGAGAACCAACAGTGGTCCATTCCACACAAGGTAAGGTTGTATTATTGATTGATGACCTACCACGCCAACATATTTTTCAGTAATACAAAGTAGCTTCAAGACAGTACGAAAGTTTATAACTAAATCCTTCATAGGTCAGAGATTAGAGGACTGGTATAGTAAGACTTATGGGGAATAGTATGCTTTTTCGAAACCCAGAAATTTCGCTATTTAGTTGGTGTAAACCTAAGGAATTAAAAAGCAGCCAGACAAACCTTTGAAATTGGTTATTGAAACCATTTCTTGTAGTTCTAAATTCACCTTTAAAGCCACAGCTAATTTTAATTGCTTTGAGGAACGTGTAGAAACAATTTACCCAAAAGCTACAAGCAACATACAATCATCAAGAACCGCACTTTTTGCTTACTAAGCAGCAAAAGTCACTGTTGGGCAGAATACAAATGAACTGGTGATAACGGTGCATACAGGCAAGTCAAACAAATAAGGAACATACGCACAAAGGCTGTAGGAGAAGATGAAATTCAGTACTAGACAAAGCTTATTGATAAATTTGTCTCCTATCCGAAAGGCTTATTCCGTTATGCAGTCCCTCTTTGACAAATCACAACTGCAGTTTCCCAACTGCTAGTTCCTAATGGCCCGACCAACAACAACGGTGATGCCACTAATCCTCTGTCTGAACAGTACTCTCGA